ATTTTGAAATAATCATGCAATTATTCTGAAATAATCGGTGCCAGATCAGCCAGAACGGGATCCAGGATTGTAATTCTATTATTTGTTTTACATGTTTTGAATGGTACGCTCTGGTATTAAAACAAACCACTCAATACGATTTCAGTTATTCAAAGAAGCATCTTTCAGCTCCTTCAAATGGATTTCCTAAATATTTCATCATTGACCCCGCGTAAGAAAGTAAACACGTTCTATTCGTTACAGCCATATTATACCCAGGGTTAATCCTCTCTTTGAACAGTGCTGGTCATACCTAATGATACGTCAGCCTCTTAAAGTGTGAATATTAATATTTGCTAATCTACAAAGCCAGTGCCGACTCTGAAGGAGTTTGGCTGAACGCTTGGTCTATGATCTTGAGAAAGCTGCAAATAGCAAGACTGGAAGCCAAGCAATCAGGCTATTTTGAACAGGCATGTTTTGAACAGTCACTGCCCTAGTCCCTGATAAACTGAAGGGGGCATTTCATGCTGTCAGCAGCATTCCAATATCGAATGCTGACTGTGAGCTAGCCTTTTCTTTCTCTCTCTCTCTCTCTCTCCCTCTTTTTTTTTTTTTGAAATGAACTTGATTTGCACCCTAAATCCATTCCTCTCTGCACACATCCACTAGATCATATTTACTCTTTCTAAAGAGTAAATTCAGTTCCCAGCTGTGGGTGGCCAAAGGACATAAAAATGCCACAGACATCCGCAGTTTTAGCCAAAATAGGAAACATGAAGCGAATCAGGACGGGTATGTGGTGTGGGGTGTTATGGACAGCAAGATGAGGTGAGCACATGATCCAATCTGAGCAATTTCTTATTGTGAACAGTGAGGTATAAAGACCTGAGGACTGAACTGCAAGTTCTGTAAGCTTCATAGCTAAGCATGTGATGATGTGGGTGTTGTGTGTACTGAGAAAAGTGGTATAAAAACATTCAACATCACTTATTGAAAATTGATGCCTAGGAGCCAAACAGCTTAGTAAATGGAAATTTAGTACACGCTTTGCACCATGTTCTGTACAGCAGCTGCATGCTCCACCAGTTTTTTGATTAATCAATACTGATATATCTGAATCTTGCCTATAATCTATATTACTGAATCTTATATTCAGTAATCCTGTTTTAGAGGATTACTCTCTATTCTCCAAACATCCTCCCTATGTATTCGAAAGATTTGCATTTGAATCCTGGATTCAATTCTGCAGCCAGATAAAGATTTATACAGCTATAAATACAAACATTTTGAGGTGTGTACTTGTTCTCCGGAGATGTGTATTTTTATATGTGTCCCCAACCTGAGACCTAGAGCACCTCACAAGAGTCCTTGCAATCAACAAGTGTCATCCTTGAGTGATTTCTCAGCTTCTCTCACCTTTCTACCACGAACAAAAAATATCACACAAGAACTCTCGAACTGCACGACACAGTTTGAGGAAACTCCCAGAATTTCCACTAAATGAAAGCACAATGCAAAAAAAAGAAAAAAAGAAATTGGTCGTACAGCAGCCTCCAGAGCGAGTGTGAATTATATTAGGTATTAGATTGGTTGGATGAGAGCCTCGACATTTTTTAAGAGATCTGATTGTTTTTGCTCTTTTCTCTTTTGCAGGGGTGTGATTAAAAAGAGCACAGACAAGCAGCAAGACAGACCCCTGAGGAGCCTGTAAATTAAACTTATGACACCTTAGGATGGCTAGCAAGAGCAGGAGACAATTAGGGGAAATGGTCACCCTGGTTCTCATCCATGGCGTGTTTTTGTCAGTCCTCTTTCTCCTTCACCGCCATTCCACTTTAGCTTGTTCCACTATATAACTCTTGTAACACACGGCACGCCGAGATCTTCCAGGTGGTCTTACAACAAGAGAACGTCTGGAGACCTGCATAACAATGTGACAGATTTAGAGAGACAGAGCCTTCATGACGGCAACACTTGCGGTCTGGTGCGACTCACTCAGTCGCACTCCCTCATTCTCTCCTCCACTAGCGAGACTTTGATGCCTCTACAGAGTAAACGCTAGTGGCATGAATCAAATTCAATTAAATGATTTTCAATAAAAAAGGCTGCCTGTTATCAACAGTGCTCATTTGCACACTGTGACCTTGGTAGTGCATGTGGTATTAGCATTCTCAGAGCTGCGGGGTAGGAAGTGAGGATGAAGAGCAGCAAAGTACACACAGTGGGTGGCCCATAATGGAGACAAAAGAAGGGAGAGAGATAGAGGAGGGAGACGGCGACAGAACGGCAAATGAAGCCGCTATTATGCCTGACACACTGGTCACTGCACATTGCCACTTGTGACGTCAACAGAGAAGCATAACCTTTTATAGTCGTGCATGAGGTTCACTGATTTGCTGAAGATCTTCTAAAAGAACAGCATACTGCTGCGAAAACTACAGTCTGCGCCACAGAAAGAGGAAGTACACAATTCAAAGACAAATACAATGCTGTTTTTCAATAACTTTCCACAGAACGTCTCATCATTTCTAGCTGAAGCACCAATCTTCCAACACAAGTTCAATGCCATCTGGGAATTCCTATACTCCCACACTGATGGATTATAGAGATGCCCGTAAAGACGGGCTTGCTCATGCCTTCAGCTTGTCCATTTTGCTCTATCTGCACAGCGCGCACCGGGTTACAAAAAAACCCTGAGAAATAAGGAACCAGCTGTAACGATGTCAGAGAACACAACCGCATCAGCTTGAGAGAAATAAGAAGTTCAACTTATTTTGTAGATCCTTCTTATTAAAAAAACTATTCTTTAAAAACACAGACAGAGCAGGCTACCGGTGGCCAGCAACCTTCATCTTCTCAGTACGCCTGGGCAATTGTCTCATTGTGATTCTAGGTCAGGGGATGATTACTGATGATGAGAAGCTGATAAGAAAGATT